TGGAACTATTTTCGCTGCTAAAATGGAACAAAAACACCCAATATTGCTTAAACAGTAAGTGACTTAATTTTAACTGTTTATTGAACTGTTGTAGGAAATCAATGTCACTTTTTCAATCGTGATGGTATTGAGGAAAAATAACTGAGGCTGCTTAGTGCTTAACATATGTTAAAATATAAAAACTCCACATTTAGATTTTTTATAGGCAGAGTATGTTGTTAACTGTGTGTGTGTGCTCCGCTCATGTGTGTAGATTTCTCTGCGCGAGCGTCAACAGCGCAACCTTACAGTAGCTGCTGCCTGCTACATTTATTATCCACAATCGATCGCAACTTGCAATAAATGTAATAAAATCAGAATCATTCTCTCGGTTTAGTGATTCCCTAGTTATTTTTTTGTTTGTTATTGATGTTCTAATCAGGCTACTTGTCCGTTGGGGCGAGTAAAATTCTCTTTTACTTGTCCTTCAAAAATCTATTTGTCCTGGAAAAGCGGACAAGTTAGACGGGCTCTAGAGATACGAACCGCGGCAGGTTAGAGTGTTTTGGATTGCATAAAATAATGAAAGAAACGAACAAATACATGGCGAAAGAAGTGCTAGACAGCAGAAGATGGGATTGGGATCATGATTGGATCATGATAGGATGATTTTTTAATAAAACTAGGCGGATGGAGGTATTATGTGGTGTGTGCATGCCTATGAATGCATGTATTTGTATGTGTGCGAATACGAATAAAAATATCCTAAATTACAAAAAAAAGACTTGTATAATATGTATTATAGTTCAGTTTGACGAACGATATCTGCCTCGTTTGTTAATAGATTGCTGGAGGACAAGATGCATCTTACATCGCGTGCTATAAAAAGACGGAGCTGTACAAAAACGTAAATTAATAGTTCGCCTCAGAGTTTTTTATTTGTGTATTTATTTAATTTTTATTATTTCTTCCCCAAGCTCATAAAATAATTTTGGGTCGCACATAAATTGACAGGGTCGGTCGGAAACCGGAAACAAACAATTTTTTTTTTACGCCTTATCATTTTCGTAATACATTATTTGTTTTGGTTGCTTAAAAACACGCATAAACAAATTATCAGATTACTCGATTAATCGATCAAGTGCTAGAATAATCAATTACAAAAAGAATCGATAGCTGCAGCCCTAGAGGTAATACAGTAATAAATCTGCAAGTCATTTAAAATATATGAAAGGAAAGGCATTCGAGTAAATTACACACTTATGTGTGTGAGAGGGGAAAACGGGGGTAGTAGAAAACTTCGGTTTTTATTTCCATCTATCTCCATGTGCTTACTGTATCCACTTATGATTGAATTATTATGGAAACACATTCAGTTATCACTTTGTATAGGACCCGTTTGAGCCCTAGAGCAGACCGGAGATCTCTCCGTTTGTTGAAAGCCTTCCCGATGCTGACTCTCGTCTTATTCCGACGACTGGCACTGGACAGACAGAAGTTTTATTTTCTTTGTCTCACGTGGAGTTTGCGTTGGGGTTTGTAATGAACTACAAGCCGGTCTCTTTCCGCGCCATACAGATTAAATGAAGTGCACGTCACTGAAAGCAACAGATATGAGCTGCATTTTATTAATCATCGGCTAATTTCAAGATCAGCAAAGACAGCAATAAGAGAGATCGCAAACAGGCCTGGTAAGATCATTTAATTTTTTTACTTTTAATGAAGATGGTAGTGTTAAGCGTCTGCGACTTACTTTCACTTTGATTTGCGATAGATTGCGGCGCGCTGGCTTGATGAAGGGGCTCAGCTCAGCTGCTCATCTGAGGTGATGCGTGTCGTCATATATGACTAAAATAACATGACATATAGCTTGTTTTCAACAACCAGATGCATTTACTCTTGTCCAGTTTCGTCTGGAATGCGGCCCAGACCACGTCCTCATGAGCGATCGGATTCAAATCCGTCTCTAACGCGTTTCGGAGGGCATTTACCCTCTGGTCTTTTCACGATCGAATAGCTATCCGATCATCACAGAAAACGCATGAAGTGACCAGGTGTAAACAGCCCCTTTGAATCCATCGTCTACTTTTGTGGAAAGCTGACTAGAGTTGTGGTCGCTCGAGTTGTCTTCTCTGATACGGAGAACGGCAGCGAATAGCTACATGAACCTGCCAGACATAGCCAGGCGAGCGTGAACGCGCATGACGTCACGCCCAGTCTCAGATTCGAGCCTGAATCCCTCTTATATAGTTCACTGTACATGATTTCAGAGGCGATCGCAGTGATCAAAGAAGGGCTCATTCAGCTTATCAGGCGATTGTTTAAGCATGTATGGGTTAGAAAACGGCTATTTTTAACATGAAATGTTGCGCAATGCACCTTTAACTAAAAATGTATATGTGACGATTAGGTGCAGATATCCAAATCAATGAATAACATAAGTTGACAGTGGATTATTTATTTTTAACTGCGGATTCGGGTGACTCAAAGTGCACCAAATGAATGAATTTATCTTAAAATGTAAAAATGTTTATATATGTATGTGTATGTGTGTATATTATATATGAAGAGTTCAGATGCAAAAGCCTCTAAGTGCCATTTGAAATTTTCTTCTAAAATGATCATTTTTATCAAGGTTGTATATTTAAGTTCAGTCATTTCACTTAAATGGCAATGAAGATTACCTATTAATTGTCATTTAAGTGAAATTACTGAACTTAAAGGAACACTCCGACTTTTTGGGACTTTAGCCTATTCACCTTACCCCCCAGAGTTAGATAAGTCCATACATACCTTTTTCATCTCCGTGCGTGCTATAAGTCTGTTTGACGCACCCACCGCTAGCCTAGCTTAGCACAAAGACTCGATGTGACTGGTTGCAGCTTTCATACTGATCCAAATGAGTGGCAAAATAACGCAAACGTTTTCCTATTTACATGTTGTGATTTGTATAGTCACATAATGTACAAATAACAAAGTCAAATGAGACACAGACATCTTTTAACCGTATAAAACCTGGGAACTATTCTCTGAAGGCGAAGCACTGCTACTTTGACGGCATAATAACCGCATCACCGGAGACACGCCGTGGTGAGGAGCGGAGAGTTCGCTCGGTGTTTGGGTAATAGAGTCAGCAATTTATAAATAGTAAAAGCGTAGTTTAGAGTCATGGGTTTTCGCTCTATTGTAAATAGCTGCGACTGTAAACAGGGGAGGTAACCATGTTTCATAGAATTCCAACTAAAAACGCTGACTGGATGAAGAAATGGCTAACTTACTCTGGATATGTATCCAAACACACCTAAGATTATCAAGGGACATTATGTTTGCTCGGTACATTTCAATGAGGACGACTATTTTGAAAAAATGGAATTTGCCACACGGACCATAATGTGCTGAAGGATACGGCCATCCCATAGCACAGACAGGACAAGTGGATCACCTGCGGCTGAGGTAAGTGTTCCGTTATGTTTTTAGATGACCTACTGGTAACAGTGCCTTTAGCCAGATCTAATGTAACGTTAGTGACACTATTATATGATTAGGGTATGAATATGTTTTTATCTTGATGCGGTGCGGACGCGCTTGGGAAAAAAAAAACGAGCGCGTTCACCGCGTTTGAACTTGCACCCTGCGCGCGGCGCGCCTAGTAGCCTAAATTTGAAATAACCATGGAAATAACGAACTTGAGCGTGCAAAAGGGTACGATAGGCTGTGAGTTCATTGTGCAAAAACAATTTGTGCTATTACTTTCCCCTTATTCTATCCTATAGTAATGCAATACTGTATATTATATAGGCTACTGTTGAATACATTTGGTTCAGCTAATAAATTGCATTTAAAATATATTGATTCCTGTAATAATAATTATTTATTCATGTGATATTTATAAATCTGGGTGCGTTTTTGGTTGGAAATCAATGAAACATGGTACTGTATTACCTGGTCTCCCCTGTTTATTGTCACAGCTCATACAATAAAGCAAACACCCGTGATAAACTATGCTTTTCTATCTAACGTTAGTAATTGCTGACTCTTTATTCCAACGCTGAGCGAAGCGAACTCTCTGCTCCTCATCACGGTGCGTCTCAGGTGATTGTTATCACTCTGCCCAAGTAGCAGTGCTTCGCCTTCAGAAAATATAGTATTTATACGGTTAAAAGATGTCTGTGTCTCACATGGCCTTGATATTTGCACACTCTGTGACTATACAAACCACAACATGTAAATAGGAAAACGTTTGCATTATTTTGTCACTCATTTGGATTAGTATGAAAGCTGCAACCATTCACATCCAGTCTTTGTGCTAAGCTAGGCTAGCGGTGGGTGCGTCAAACAGACTTATAGCACGCACGGAGATGAAAAAGGTATGTATGGACTTATCTAACTCTGGGGGGTAAGGTGAATAGGCTAAAGTCCCAAAAAGTCGGAGTGTTCCTTTAAATATACAAGCTTGATAAAAATGGTCATTTTAGAAGAAAATTTCAAATGGCATTTAGAGGCTTTTGCATTCGAACTCTTCATATATATATATATATATATATATATATATAAAATATACACACACATATATAAACATTTTTAAATTTTAAAGATAAATTCATTCATTTGGTGCACTTTGAGGTACCCGAATCCGCATATATATATATATATATATATATATATATATATACACACACACACAAGATCATACGCAAAGGCTAATGGATCAAAATGCATGAAAACAATAATATCAAAGCCTGATTCATCTAACGCACACGCGCAGACAGACAGACAGACAGACAGACAGACAGATAGACAGATAGACAGATAGATAGATAGATAGATAGATAGATAGATAGATAGATAGATAGATAGATAGATAGATAGATAGATAGGGTCTGTCTCTCTCCCTGCTGGTGTAACAGTTAACGTTACTTATCTGTCGTTCACTCAATCGCATTCACACGTTTCATCAATCACCCCATAAACGATCAACAAAACACACTCAATATAACTTACATAACAAAACATCCACTCACCTCACTATTAATAAACGCCTCTCGTGAATGTCGATCTCCGTTGACGTTTTAGAAATCCTCACTCTCCGCCATCACCGTTATAGAGCTAACGCTGCTAAAGCTAAAGCTAGTCCACTTCTCCACGCAACACCCGAAACGTGACGCTGACGTAGGTAGAGCATTGCAGCTAATGCTGCAGACAACTGGGAATTTGGATGTTTCCCATATCCTACTTGGGAATAACGACTGGAACGCCTCTAGAATTCGGACATCGAACATGTGAACTCAGGACAGGTCGATCAACGCTGATCTTAGCGAGGCGCGTCATTTGGTCATATGACGTCACTTCCAAGATAGCGCCAAGTCCTGTTGTTGGTTGTTTCCGGGTGTTTCGGGTTCTACACTTGGCATTAACATGCGATCACCGTGATGTGATCAAGATCGGATCATTAATCAGACATGGTGCGTTTACATTCGTTCACATTAAGTAGCGAAATTCGAATTTCTGTTTCCTGCATAATATTAAAATAGGTCTGTTGAACGACACCAGATTAAGAATAAACAATGTCCCAATTGCTTTCACTCATTCACTTTACTATGCAATCTCCAGTAGGTCTTATTAGATTTTTTTTTATGAAGTTATACTTCCAGAGTTGATTATACAAAATTAACTGGGTTGATCATGATCGAGGCTTCGAGAGGCAATGAAACAGTTGAATCAATGCCATATTGTGTCGAGGCTTTCAATCAATTCGAAACCCAAATCAACGGCGACACCTAGTGGTCACTTGCAAGTGTTGATCTAAAACAACCTTTACAGTGAGCCACTAAATATATATATATATATATATATATATATATATATATATATATGTGTGTTTTTTAATATTATTATTGTAGCTATTTTTCTAATATGTGAAGCTTGTAACTGTAGGCTCCTCACTCTGTAGAATGTTATTTTGGTCCTGAAAAAATGAATATTAATAAAAGAAATAGCCACAATGTCTCAATTGTTTAGAGATTCTTAATAAAAATATTTATTTATCTTCTTTGGAAGGAAATTCTCAACTGAGAATTTTATGTATACTACTATACTAACTGCATTATTAGCCTATTTCACCAATTTCATGTTGCTATTTGGATTAAGGGTAAATATAAAAATATATTATTTTAGTGTTTATGTGTGACGTTACATCCTGTAAATCTTATTCTGCTTGAAAAAGAATATGAGTTGTATTATTGTACATTTATAAAGTATTTACTTTTTTCATAGGCAATCATAAATGCCCTGGCTGTCTCCTGGCTGGGATATCTCCTCACAGGAGGCTGAGCAGGTCTTCCTTTCTGGTCTGGATTATCATTGCAGGTCAGAGTAGATTATTCATTATTTTTGCACGATACCCAGTGCACCATTTTGTTACTGATAATTCTGTTACAGTAACACAACAGTGACTGTTCTTGGATAACTATTTCAGTGAAGTGGAAGATTTTAACTGACAAATTGACAAACAATTGAGGAAGAAAGAAAGGAGACCATTCAATTGTTGGCTGTTACTTTTACATTTACACATTTGGAGTTTGGAATTACGTCAGTAACATGAATATTCAATTTGACTTTCTCTCTCTACAACTCCAACACTTCATAACTGTTTAGTGTTAAATCGAATATTCAATTTGACTTTCTCTCTCTACAACTCCAACATTTCATAACTGTTTAGTGTTAAATCAGAAATAGATACAGGGATACAGTCGGTTGGTCTGGGAACGCCCCCGGGAACGCCCCGTCACGTGATGTGAATTTAGCCCGTCACCGTGGGGGAAACCTTGGCGGTCATTGAAATACATGGGACAATCATGCCGAAAAAGAGTTTCTGTGTCGTTTTCTGTACCACCAATAAACTAACAAATTATAAATTGAAGTTCTACAGCCTTTCTTACATACATACAGAACCGGATAGGAGGACAAAATTAATCATATCTTATTAGATTAACGTTACTGTGTGAGTAGAGATCCCTGTTAGTAGTGTTTAACTCGTATTAAGGCGGGCATACACTGTGCGATGTCTGTGCGATTTCAGCAAGGTACCTACTCACACTGAACGAAATCGCATGCGATGCAAAGCCAAAGTTCAGGATTTATGTGCTCACACTGTACGGTCCGATCGTCGAGCTGCGACTTCACTGCTCACACTATACGTGTAATATCTGCGATAACCCCCTGGATTGCGCCTATTTACGTGCATGTATCCAGAGATATTGTCAAAACCAGCATCTGCTATCAGTATCAAGATGATTTAGTATTTTCAATTTATGCATTTAATTATTATTATTATTATTATATTATCATTATTAGGGGAGGCCTATAGGCTAATTACTATTAAATTGATCCGCTATTATAATTAATTTGCCACGCAATATTTTCACAGCACATAACCAACGTGCTGTGAGGATAATAAAATATTAATCTTACTCCTCATTAAAAATTGTCTAAAACATTTAAGTCGATTACAATGAATTATATATAAAATAACTATTAACAGTCTATAATATGTCCGAACATTGCCATTATTAATCATCAATGAAAATTAAAAACAGGTTTATTTCAAAAACATTGTTTGACAAAATAATAAAAGAGGTGTTACATATCAGGTCGGTAAGACACCGCGGTCAAGCCAGCCGCAGTTTGAAAACTATCTATCTATCTATCTATCTATCTATCTATCTATCTATCTATCTATCTATCTATCTATCTATCTATCTATCTATCTATCTATCTATCTATCTATCTATCTATCTATCTATCTATATTCTATCTATCTATCTATCTATCTATCTATCTTTCTTTCTTACTTTCTTTCTATCTATTTTTCTTTCTTTCATTCTTTCTTTCTAGTTTTCTTTCTTTCTTTCTTTCTATTTTTCTTTCTTTCATTCTTTCTTTCTTTTTCTTTCTTTCTTTCTTTCATTCTTTCTTTCTATCTTTCTTTCTTTCTATCTTTCTTTCATTCTTTCTTTCTATCTTTCTATTTTTCTTTCTTTCTTTCATTCTTTCTTTTTATCTTTCTATTTTCTTTCTATCTTTCTTTTTTCTTTTTTCTATTTTCTTTCTTTCTATCTTTCTTTTCTATCTTTCTTTCTATCTTTCATTTTCTTTCTATCTTTCTATTTTTCTTTCGTTCTTTCTTTCTTTCTTTCTTGTAATTAATCTATCTCTATCTATCTATCTATCTGTTTTTTTTCTTTCTGTATTTCTTTCTTTCTTTCTATTTTTCTTCTTTCTTTCTTTCTATTTTTCTTTCTTTCATTCTTTCTATCTTTCTATTTTCTTTCTTTCTTTCATTCTTTCTTTCTTTCTTTCTTTGTAATCTATCTATCTATCTATCTATCTATCTATCTACTCATTTCGTCTTTGACATTTGTAATTCTTTGACATATGTTTTGTTTTTTTTCTTTACAGGTAACACCTCAAGACATTTTTTATGTACAGGTTTACAGCATAATTATTTGTAAAAAGAGATCAAATAAAGTATACACTCTTTTAAATGCCTCTTTTTTTCATGTTTTTTTAGTATTAAAATGACAATTTCTCTTGAATTAAATGTCCCATGTCCTAATGTCCCAATGCCTCTCTTCTACTTTAGACACAAATAAAAACCTCATTTCTAATAAGTAGAAAAAAAACAATGGTCAGGTCATGTACGGGACGTCCCATAGAGTGTGCTCACCAATTATCTAGCAATTTTACTGCAGTTTTTTGGAGATATAGGCCTCTCTTCTATTTTAGACACCTATAAAAAATATTTTCTAATAAGTAGAAAAAAACAATGGTCAAGTTATGTACGGGACGTCCCATAGAGTGTGCTCACCAATTATATAGCCATTTTACTGCAGCGTTTTGAAGATATAGGCCTCTCTTCTACTTTAGACACCTATAAAAACCTATTTTCTAATAAGTAGAAAAAAGCAATGGTCAGGTCATGTACGGGACGTCCCATACAGTGTGCTCATCAATTATCTAGCAATTTTACTGCAGTGTTTTGGAGATATAAGCCTCTCTACTACTTTAGACACCTATAAAAAATATTTTCTAATAAGTAGAAAAAAACAATGGTCAGGTCATGTATGGGACGTCCCATACAGTGTGCACACCAATTATCTAACCATTTTACTGCAGCGTTTTGGAGATATAGGCCTCTCTTCTACTTTAGACACCTATAAAAACCTATTTTCTAATAAGTAGAAAAAAGCAATGGTCAGGTCATGTACGGGACGTCCCATAGAGTGTGCTCACCAAATATCTAACCATTTTACTGCAGCGTTTTGGAGATATAGGCCTCTATTCTACTTTAGACACAAATAAAAACGTCATTTCTAATAAGTATAAAAAAAGCAATGGTCAGGTCATGTACGGGACGTCCCATAGAGTGTGCACACCAATTATCTAACCATTTTACTGCAGCGTTTTGGAGATAAAGGCCACTATTCAACTATAAACAACAATAAAAACCTAATTTCTAATAAGTAGAAAAAAACAATGGTCATTTCATGTACGGGACGTCCCATAGAGTGTGCTCACCAATTATCTAGCTATTTTACTGCAGCGTTTTGGAGATATAGGCCTCTCTTCTACTTTGGACACCTATAAAAAATGTTTTTTAATAAGTATAAAAAAACAATGGTCAGGTCATGTACGGGACGTCCCGTAGAGTGTGCACACCAATTATCTAACCATTTTACTGCAGCGTTTTGGAGATATAGGCCTCTCTTCTACTTTAGACACCTATAAAATCTATTTTCTAATAAGTAGAAAAAAACAATGGTCAGGTCATGTACGGGACGTCCCATAGAGTGTACTCACCAATTATCTAGCCATTTTACTGCAGCGTTTTGGAGATATAAGCCTCTCTTCTACTTTAGACACCTATAAAAACCTATTTTCTAATAAGTAGAAAAAAAACAATGGTCAAGTTATGTACGGGACGTCCCATAGAGTGTGCTCACCAAATATCTAACCATTTTACTGCAGCGTTTTGTTGATATAGGCCTCTCTTCTACTTTAGACACCTATAAAAACCTATTTTCTAATAAGTAGAAAAAACAATGGTCAGGTCATGTACGGGACGTCCCATAGAGTGTGCTCACCAATTATCTAGCAATTTTACTGCAGTTTTTTGGAGATATAGGCCTCTCTTCTATTTTAGACACCTATAAAAATATTTTCTTATAAGTAGAAAAAAACAATGATCAGGTCATGTACGGGACGTCCCATAGAGTACAAAAACCTCATATCAAACAATTTTACTGTAGCATTTTGGAGAAATGTCCCATTATTCAACTTCAGAGG